ATTTCAAGGTTCCAATCATTACACCATTTCTGAATTTGGTGGAGAGAGAATTGCATTTTGCGCTGCACTTCGTAACTGGATTCTGAGACTGCAATGAGATAGATATCGTACCCGAAGAAAAGGTTCAATCCGTCGCCATTGAGATTAAGATGTAGGTCGGACAAGTATATCATGAAGAGGAAAAGGGATAGAACTGATTCCTGTGGAACTCTACTTTTCATCGGGAAATTGGCTGATAGCCAATTTCTCTATCGCATGGCATTCTTTCTGTGCTTGACAAAATTATGGAAGAAGAGGGTAGCTCTGCGGTCCTCCTCTCCAATAAGTGCATATCTGCTCACGTTATCGGTTGCCTATTTCAACACACCTCATGTCCAGAATCTTGGGACAGTTTTTATAAAAAGTAGAAAAAGTTACTACAGAATATCAGCTTATTCTTTCTTAAGAGAGCATTCATACTGCATTGTAGAAAACCGCCTATGCTTGTCCAAGGATGAAAATGATTGGGAGATTTTTTGCGAGTATTTCACTAATGAAGTCCCGTTTGCATCTCAGAATTCACACATTCACTGAAGTCAAGCATCAATGCCTTCGTTCAGTGTGCGGTCACTTGGATTAGTCTGCGTAGGGACCGAGGGTGTGCGGTATGGGTCCTCGTTAAACTGCTCTACCGTAAAGTGCTCGACTTCGCGTGCAGGTCGTCGGGCTACCGAAGCTGGGGTGCCATCCCCTCCGCAGAGGATCATAATTGTGATGGCACGTCTTCGGATCATCCTGAGGGCGGTTTCCCAGACAGTCGCTATTAGCAGGGGTGATTATGAGCCCAAGTCAAAATTCCGGAAAATTTCTTAAGTGACAAAAAAATTTAAATCGAAAAATTAGAAAAAATTTAAACAAGATTTTTTCTTTTTTCTCAATATTTCTTAGTTTACTTAAAATATATTTAAAATTTTACATATATCTATGACGACCTGGAGGAGGAATTGAAATTTACAAATATGTCTTTTTTTCTTGAGTTTATTATAACTATTTATTGATAAAAAATTAATATTATTCCTGAATATAAGCTTATAAAGTATCAGGCTCTCCGTTACAAACAAATAAAATAAACTGTAGTTTTAAGTTCCACCTTTGAAAATTTGATTTCCGGAAACTTTTGTGATCAATGATTTTTCTAAACGTCTGAACATTCGATGTCCGGAAACTTCCGGATCAGGGTTAGCGAAAAATACGGATTTTTTCCGAAACACAATCAGCACTGCAATAGCCCATTGTGCAGCTCTAGTGCGACGTAAATAAACTACAACAAATAGACCAATTTATCATTTTCGACTTAAGTGTTTCAGTTGAAGTGAAACTTATGAGATTTCCCATCATGCATTGCAAAATTTACGATTTCCTCTGTCTTACAACAGTCGATGTTGCACTATGCGTCACAAAATGCTATCGGAGACGAACAGAAAACAACCCTGAATATGATGGCTCTCCCGCTTTGTAGCCCAACAACCTGAGCGAGAAGTCCAGCACTTTACATTAGAACAGTTCCGGAAAAAAAATTATACCGCGTACCCTTGGTTCTATCGCAGACTGATCAAAGTGGTTAGCCACAGTGTTGAAGAACTTAATTTTTTTACGGGAACGTAAGTCATTGCATTGTGAGGGGGAGAGAAAAGGATTAACTCCATAAAATTATAAAAAATGATTTTTGGTCTATGTAATTACCGAATCATCTGAAGTTATCAAAGTTTTTCTTGTATTCCTGCTACCCTTTTTCTTTTATCTTACTGCAGCTTCTGTAATTTGCCTCTCCATTTAACAAACTAAATAAGAAAACCAATACATAAATAAAAAAATCTTAATTACTTTTATCTGTATTTATTTTTTACTTCTTAAAAGAAAGAAAGAAATTAATTTGCAACAATGGGCTATTGGCGACGGTCTGGGGAACATCCCTGAAGATGATCCAAAGACAAGCCATCACAATTTTGATCCTCTGCAGAGGGGATACCCCTCCCCGCCTCGGTAGCCCGAAGACCTGCACGGGAAGTCGAGCTTTTTACGGTAGAACAGTTTAACGAGGATCCATACCGCACACCCTCGGTCCCTACGCAGACTGATCCAAGTGGTCTCCCATCCGCACACTGACCGCAGCCAGTGATGCTTGACTTCGGTGATCTTTTGGGAACCGTGTCTTAACGATCAGTCCACTGCGGGACCATAATTAGTAGCAAATCAAGTAATATAATCCAGTAGTCAAGGTTAATTAAAACCAATATGAACATGAATGCAAACGTTTAGATACCTGTTATTTAAAAAAACTATTTTATTACATACTTCAAAAATTTTGTGTGTCACTTAGTATCAACAATACTGTATTTAGTCAGATGACATTTCTGAGAAAAAACTCTCATTCCATTATACTACAACGCAAAGGTTTCTCACCAGTGAAAACACAAACAGTAAAGTTTTCACCTATATGAATAAAACTACAATAAATTAGATGGACCTTAAGCGATAAAAAAGAGGAAACTTTTAACATAAACAAGAATATGGCTTTTAAAAAGCGTGAACATAACTGTAACTGGTTAGATAATTCTTTTTTTGAAAAAACTTTAGCTATTAAAACCCCTGCACTCTTGCAAGATTATGTATTTTACAAGGTAAAGGAAGCATGTTCCGCAAATGCAAAGCAATTCCAAAGAGACCCGGTAACATTGGAAGAGGCCATAGAGAGGCAAAGAGCCATAGATGAAGAAATTAAAAACTTACGTAGTGCCCAAACGTGGGAACTTGTTACCAAACCACCTAATGTCAAGCTTATCAGTTCTAGATGGATATTTCGGAAAAAGAAAACTTAGACAGGAGATTGTGATAAATTTAAAGCTAGACTGGTAGCTAAAGGTTACATACAAGTCCCTGGAATTGACTTTCAAGAAACATTCTCTCCTGTGATCAAATTAAAATCTATCAGATCTTATTGGCACTAACTGTGGAATGTGAAATGGATATTCATCAAATGGCTGCTTACCTGAATGGTACATTAAAAGAAGACATTTACATGAAACAGCTTGAAGGAGCCATAGTGCCAGGCAAAGAACATCTTGTCTGCCACCTTAAAAGAAGCCTATATGAATTGAAACAATCTGGAAGAGAGTGGAATGCATGTCTCAACACCTTTTTAAAAGACTATAGATTAACACGCTCTAAAAGTGATCTATGCACTTACTATCATTCAAATAAAACACTTTACCTTCTTGGCATATATGTTGATGATATGCTTATTGTTGGAAATCCAGGCCAGAAGTCATAGAAATATTTAAAATTAAGGTTAAACAAAAGATCTTGGAGAAGCAGGTGAAATTTTATTGATGAAAGTGAAAAGGTATACTGATGGATCCTTAACCTTAGACCAATCNTGGAAATCCAGAAGCAGAAGTCATAGAAATATTTAAAATTAAGGTTAAACAAAAGATCTTGGAGAAGCAGGTGAAATTTTATTGATGAAAGTGAAAAGGTATACTGATGGATCCTTAACCTTAGACCAATCATCCTATGTTGAAGAAGTATTGAAAACCTTTGAAGCAACCTTACTCAGAGGATCATCAACTCCAGTATACGCAGACCTCCCTTAGACATAAAACGTTAGAAGTGTTAAACACTATAAGTTAACCGAAGATGAGAGGAAGGAAACTAAAGAAACACCAAACAAAATTCCATACAGGCAGGCCATAGGCAGTTTACTGTACCTTGCCTGTGGTACTCGCCCTGCCATTGCTTATAGTTCAACTCATATGAACCAGTTTAATGAAAGACCTACTGAAAACCATTGGCGAAGTGTCAAACACTTATTTAAGTATCTTAAACATATAAAACATCTTTGTTTGACATATAGAAAAACTCGAAAGAAGCTAGAAGTATTTTCTCTGATGCAGACTGGGCAGTAGATTGCATTGACAGAAAATCATTTAGTGGCTATGTGGTCATTCTTGGGGGTGCTGCGGTGTCTTGGTCCAGTAAGAAACATCATTGCACTGTACTGTCTTCCGCAGAAGCTGAATACCAGGCAATGGCGCCCACGCCACCGAAGAAGTATTGTGTATAAAGAGTTTAATGTTTGAGCTCAGTAAAGAAATGTTTGTACCACCTCCCGTACTAATAATGATAACCAGGCAGCTATGTTCATAGCTAAAAATAAAACTACGTCCGATCGGAGTAAACACATAGATCTTAGGTATCATTTCATATGTGACAGAATTTCATATGTACTCAATAGTTTGAGGACTCAGTTAGGATTTATAGAATAACTGTGATATATTATGTATATGTGTATTGATCATTTCCCTGCCCTGGTAAGGGGGAGTGAAAGTTATATAAAATACCAGAACAGGGAATAAGGTATATTTTTAGCCAAATATTGTACACATGAAGTAATGATTAATTGATAAAACCAACAATGATAGAATCAACCAATCAGGATACTGCAAGTAATCTAAATGATGTATTGCCGTATTTGTTTATCTGTTTTTGCCAACAGTTGTTGTTGTAATTTTAAAAAAATATCAATACAAGAGTCTTTTTCTTTTTCAAGAATTTTTTCTCATGATATAATCTTTACTAAAATATTTCTTTTTCTCAAAATGATCTGTTTATTTACAATTATAATTTAATTTTAACAAATATTGTTTCTCACCAGTATGAGCCCGATTGTGTTTTGTCAGACAAAATTTTCGTGAAAAATTCTTATAACATATAATACAAGAATAAGGCTTCTCACTAGTATGAATATGACTGTTTTCTCAAACTACCTTTTATTAAAAACTTTTATTACATGTACTGTAAGAATAAGGTTTCTTATCAGTATGAACACGATAGCGTTCATTCAGTTACACTCTTTCTGAAAAACTCGTATTACATATAATACAAGAATAAGGTTTCTCACCAGTATGCACAGGACAGTGTTTTCTCAGATAACTTTTATCAAAAAGTTTCATTACATTAACTACAAGAATAAGATTTCTCCTCAGTATGAACACGACAGTGTTTATTCAAAGTCACTTTATGTGAAAAACTCTTATTACATATACTACAAGAATAAGGCTTCTCACCAGTATGAACACCACTGTGTTTTTTCAGATTATCTTTTAGCGAAAAACTTTTATTACATATACTACAAGAATAAAGCTTTTCACCAGTATGAACAAGACTGTGTTTATTCAGATGTGCACTTTGAGAAAAACTCCTATCACAAATACTGCAAGAATAAGGCTTCTCAGCAGTATGAACACGACTGTGTATAGTGACAGAACTTTTTCGTGAAAATTTTTTATTACATATACTACAAGAATAAGGCTTCTCACCAGTATGAACAAGACTGTGTTTATTCAGATGCTCACTTTGAGAAAAATTCTTATTACATATACTACAAGAAAAAGGCTTCTCACCAGTATGAACACTACTGTGTTTTATCAGACTCCCTTTTAGTGAAAAACTTTTATTACATATAATACAAGAATAAGGCTTCTCACCAGTATGAACAAGACTGTGTTTATTCAGATGCTCGCTTTGAGAAAAACTCTTATTACATATACTACAAGAATAAGGTTTCTCACCAGTATGAACACGACTGTGTGCAGTGAGATGACTTTTTCGTGAAAACTTTTTATTACATATACTACAAGAATAAGGCTTTTCACCAGTATGAACAAGACTGTGTTTATTCAGATGCTCACGTTGAGAAAAACTCTTATAACATATACTGCAAGAATAAGGCTTCTCACCAGTATGAACACGACTATGTTTTTTCAGATTACCTTTTAGTGAAAAACTTTTACTACATATACTACAAGAATAGGGCTTCTCCCCAGTATGAACACGACAGTGCTCATTCAGAGTTCCTCTTTCTGAAAAACTCTTATTACATTTACTACAAGAATAAGGCTTCTCACCAGTATGAGCACAACTGTGTTTAGTCATATTACTTTTTTCTGAAATTACATATACTACAAGAAGAAGGTTTCTACCCAGTATGAACACGACTTTGCTTTTCAGACTACCTTTTAGTGAAAAACTTTTATTACATATACAATGAATTAAATTTTAATTATTAAAATTTATATATAATTAATTATAATAAATATAATTAACTAAAATTTTATTACATTACATATGCAAGAATAAGGCTTCTCCCCAGTATGAACACGACTAAGTTTTGTCAGATTACTTTTTTGTAAGAAACTCTAATTTTATATAACTACAAGAATAAGATTTTTCACCAGTGTGAATTTTAGTGTTTAGTCAGTCTTTTTCTAAAAAAACTCTTGTTAGAATAACAAGAATAAAGTTTACTTACAGGATGATACTTATTCTGAATTAAATTAGGCCTTTAATAACATGATACAAAGAAGAGCGTGCTGTATCAAGACACTAACTTAGACTTAATTTTTAACTAAGTACAATATAATAGTGTAGAAATATGATCACCTTACTGCAGACATATGATTTATTATAATAGATGCATCTGTGAAATCATTAATTTAAATTATATTGATATCTAAATATTTTCTACTTTTCACAAATAACTTTAATAATATAATAATTGTTGAACATACCAAACTAAATTATTTAACTTTATGTTTTTTTAGCACACAAAAAATGCAGAAATAATGTGCAACTTCATGTATTAGATTCAATACACTATGAAGGAATGCAGTTTAAGACAGTGTAAAATTAATGTTATTTGTTATTAGACATATCTTAAAAAAGAACATGAATAAATATTGATATTAATTGTTTTGAACATAGAATTATCAAATTTGATTTCATTAGTAATTTATTCACACAGACACTGCAGAAATATGGCTCATTATAAATAAAGAAAATAAAAATTTTTCTTACTAAAATAAATATGAGAAGGTTAAAAAAGTTTCTATAAAATTGCCTTAACAGAATACAGAAAATATTTTCTCAGTATGAACAGGAAAATCACAATTTAAATTTCTTGCATATAAATATCAAATCATATGTGTATTATGAAAGTGACAGACATCTTGATTATCTGTAACTATTTAATAATGCACTGCATGAAAAGCCTGTTTAAAGTGTTACTTAAACCAAATTATTCTTCTTTCCTTGATTAATTTATTACAATGACTGCTTAAATAAATTATTTTCATATTATGAATTCAAAAAAATTAAATGAAACTACTTCTTTTTGTACACTTTTTAGAACCGAAGTAAAATGTTGCACAATAAAGAAGTATAATTATGAACTACACTTGGAAACTTATGAACACACAAACTAGAAACGTTAAATTTCCATATGTGTAAATATTTTCCCCTCAGAACATCACTGCAACTGTGACACACATTGCACTGACAGCATTTGCTGTCAGTATCACAACATAGAATGTTACTGCCAACATAGAATGAAATTGCCTTTAATAATGCTTCCTATTGCCAGAAAGAAATTACACACACTTAATGAATAGTTTATTGATGATATAAATCGTACAGAAAACGCAATCTTTAAAATAAAAAGATTTATGCACGCACAATAAGAATTTTATTTACTGTCAGCAAGAAGATATTTTATCATTTACATCGATTTTTCTTTTCCGTAAAAAGAAGATAATATATGAATTAGATCTGCATGGAAATGAACTTTTTAAAGCGTTTTCTATATTGTTTCCATTACTACGATGGTATTTCATTTTACATTTGTAAGATTATGCATACCCAGGCTTATAAATTTAAGCCAAGTAGGAGCAAATCAAAAACAATTTTTAAAAACTTTTCCGTACACAAATAGGGTTAATTAAAGTCGTTTTTGGTATTAGTAAGAAAGTATGTTTTAATATAGTTCATCATTCCTCTATGAGTTTATCTTTTCAATAAATTTCAGTAACGAATTTTCAACAAATAGGTGCATACTGATTGATTGATTGATTGAAGAAGGGAGAGACGAGCGCTTTGCTTTAGCTTATAGCTCTGTATTTCGGATAATATAGTTTAGGGTTGAGGCTTGATTGATAGCTGGAGGTTGCAGTAAAAAGTCAAAAGCGGTTTGTGGACTGGAAGCTTGGCCACCTTGGGTTATCCTATCAACAAATAATGATTGATTGATTGAAGAAGATAGCGACGATTTCTAGGCTTTAGCTTATAGCTCTGTATTTCCTTTAATATAATTTAGGGTTGAGGCTTGATTGATAGCTGGAGTTCGTAGCATAAAGTCGGAAGCGATTTGCTGCTTGTAAGAATTTGTAGAGGGATTTGAGTTTGTTCCGAGGATTATGTTGTTTAGGCTGGGATTCAACTGAAACAGTCTTAAGACACGCCACTCGACATATGCGAAGGTCTTAAGGCTGGAATTCAACTGCAACAATCTTAAGACACGCCACTCGCCAGCTACGACGGTCTTAAGTTCGGGAAGATACGCCTCTCGTCTTAAATAGCTATTCAAGTGAAACACTTGCGTCGTATCCTTGGCAAACAATGATATACATTCTTTTTCTCTTTAATTCTGTTGGCCAAGAATGGGCCCGCCTGATAGACAGGTGTGGCGAAGTCGAATTCTTGGCCATAGATGGAGCCACTGAAAAACAAGAATCGCACACTCTGCCTTAAATTTGTTCGGTTTCACCAAGCAGGCTTTAGCCCGTGTGGCATTAGAACCAGCCAACCAACATTAAAGAAATAGTTTGAAAATTATAA